TTGAAGAAGATTGCCGAGTTCTGCAGGGCGTCATCCATTCTTTCCTCCTATTTGGATGTAGATTCAAAAGTCGAAATGTGAGGAAAGTACAGTACTTCGACCAATGACTTCGCGTACGCGATTAAAATTTTTTATTTATGTCAAGCGCGGAAAATTTTCCCAGTGGCAGCATCGCCCAGCTCTCTACTGTCCTGAAAGAACGGTCACTGCGTTTGTTGAGGCACATGCAATTACATCCACTATCACTTCCATTACATTGAAAGCCAACCTGTTCCAAGGACAGGTTAAGACCTGGAGGAACAAGGTCAAAGCTGATGCTGAAATCCGCTCCGAGCCGGAAGGGTGCGGATACAAATGATTAAAGAAAGATTGGCTGAACTTGATGGCAGATATTTTATGACCGACGGATGTCGAACTCAATGAGCAATTTACGTAATTGGAGCCAGTTGTGGTTACAGCCGTCAAAGCAACTACAACGACAATAACATGCCATAACGTACACACCTGTATCGCTCGTCAGTTTTACCTTTTTGGTCCAGAACGCTCATGGAGCCGTCAAAAGGTCTTTACTGTATATTGCCTGTTTGGTGACGTTCGAGAATTTTCTCCTTTATGTTGTGCTGGTGTGTTTAATATCACTTTATGATAAGAAAATGTCAAATTAAGTCACTCAATAAAATCCGTTAAGCTGCTTGTCTTCAGGTATAGACAAAATTTACTAGTTTCCAAATTAATCAAGAAATTAATGAAGAATAGACTAACACAGACTATATGCAGAATTATGAAAAATAGGGCTGACGTCATGGGTATTATTTCAATGCCAAAATTTCATGTTTAACAGCTATAGGAGCTAAAAGTATACTCAGATGGTTTTCAGAGCAGTTGCAAAGAGCCGAAAAAGCGCCGAAAAATGCCTTTAAAAGTCTTGAGGAACAAGAGGCGAAAGTAATACAACAACCACAATGAATTAGAGTGTAAATACTACCGCAGTAGTAGAAACAGAAACTAATTTGCGGTTGTGTCCAAGTCGGTAATACCGTAGTTTTACTGGATTATTACTAAGCCTAGCCCTATGTCAAAGGGCTTAACATTGTTGCCTGTATATATAAGTTTACGCCGTGCTTTGATGTAGTCTGATGCCCAGGTAATAGTGCGGTAAAAACCACACATCAGCAGTCTGGATCGAAAAGTCGATAAATTTCAGTTTATGGAGGTATGGGCACTCGACACTCGACAACAACATATATGGAGTTAAATATCTCCACCAGCCTTTCAGAATCAAAAGCTGCCATCGGTGACTGAACCACATTTGCCGTTCAGCGAATGACTCTAAACAGCAACCGAATGGTGATCATTTCGACTACCTCAACAGACGCAGAAAGCACGCCTGATGGCGGACTAGTAAACGAGTGTTTCTTCCCTCTTTGCAACAGAGATCTCTTAGGTTTTACAGAATTTTTAACAATCGCGCCAATCGCTTCATTTTATGTTAATCTATCGTATGACAGCTGTGTTCCAAATTGGATTAAAATTGATTTTGGTCGTGGAGACATAAAATTAGTTGAGAACGTTTAACGACAAATAGGTGTTTTGGAATGTCGATCTTCGATTTTCATCCCTCGAATCGTTGAGTTTCTTGATATCCATCCTTTGTTGTTTATCTTGTAGAACTGATTGGCTTGAATTTCAGGAAATAAATGCTAGCTTAGCTTCAGAGATACGTCTTGCGCTTTTGACTCTATCAACCAAATCCAACGAAACCATCGGAATGCGCGCCGAACATAGGATTTAGTTAATCACAGGATTTCAAAAGCTGAATGGAGCTGCCACGTGACTAAGCTGAGGGACAACTGGAGGATGTCCACGATTACAAACTAGTTTCCGCTGGACCGCAACAGAAACCGCCATTGGGACAAACCCATGGCCACACTACTTGGTGGGGAGGGGGGGATAGAAGCAGAGAGGAAAGAACAGAGAAGATTGGGTGAGCATTGATTTGAGTAAATGGAACACCTACAACGAGGAAAAGTCGATGAAGAATGAAAGATGAAATATATTTGTATTGCACTTTTAGAACTCTACTCAAGTAAAGCTTGCCAAAATTACGGTAGTGAATGGTCTTAAAATGTCTGGATGCAATGCGAAAGAAATCGACACACTGAACACAGGCAAATACGATCATAAGTTGCAAAGACGAGTGTGGAATAGAGCTTACGGATGTTCAGAAATTTAAATACAATAG